AGCCTAGGGCTCCTCCCAACCCCTTCCATGCTCCTCTTTCTATCAGAGCAGACGGACACAGGCATTCCTGAGGCCTTCCTTACTTTCCCATGCCATGAGCCCTGGAGGCTGTATCCCACCCTGGTCCTGCCCTACCCCTGCTATCTGGCCATGGAGGTTCCTGCCTCCACTTTTGTCTGGCCAGTGGTTTGAGTTGAGCCATTCCAAGATAAGGGAAACTCCATTTCTTTCCTAATTACTGCCTCTGATCAATCAGTGCTCTCCCGGAATGCTGTTACTCTGTCCTCTTTTCTTTTCCTCCCTGCCTCTGGCAGCCCAACTCCTGCAGACAGGTTCCCCTCCATAGGACCCCAGAGTTCCTTCCTCTGATTTAATGTCAGACCCTTCCTGAAGTCTTGGACACATGAATTCTCCTTGCAGTCCACAGCTAGGGAGAGTAAGGCCTAGGAGAGCACCAGGACTTGGCCAAGGTCTCATGGCTTAGTTGGGGAACCAGGTCTTTTGGCTCCCACTGCCCCGGAATAAACAAACATCTCTCTTAAATCAGAACGCTTTTCCTGGCGTCTAGCTTTAATCTTTCTTGCTGTAAATGAAAGACTGTCTCCTGTGTTTGTCCTCTCGGTGGGAGGGATTTGCAAGTGGAGGGTGGGTGAAGGACAGTGAGGATCAGCCTCACTGCTGCCAAGCTACTGGTAAGAAGGAGCACTCTTCCATGTAACAAAGCTGCACAAGTACCTTATAAATTTATACATACATGAAGCACTCTTCTCCAGAAGGATTTTTTACCAATGCCTTTGTAGGATTGCCTCTCCCAGAATGCCAGGCTTCTGCTTGTTTGTAGAGTGTCCAGGACAGCCTGGGCCTCAGGAAAGAAGGGGGTGTAGCCAGGCTGGCTTGGATGGCAGCTGTGAGCAGTCCCCTACCCAGGCACACTCTGGGTGGCTGTGGGAGCGGCAGCAGTCCCAGGCAGCCAAGGCCTGGCCTCAGGAGCCCAGCCTAGCCAGTGGGGCAGATGGGGAGGGCCAGGTTATCTTTAAATGGCACCTTACTCAGCCTGCCACTCTGCCAGCTGGGCAGGATGGGGGTAGACAAGTGTTATTTTGGGATCTGAGGGCAAGGGAGGAGGAAAGCTCTGTTTATAGCTCTCTCCTTTCTGTCCCTACTCTCTCTCCTGGGGAGGATTTGGGGCCATGGGCCTCAGCCCTCCAGCTGACCCTTTCCAACCCAAGGTTTCTGTTTTCAGCCTAGCTGTTAGCCATCTGCACAGATGGGAGTGTTGAATCTACAGAGGCACAGGGTTTCTCCGAAAGGCCAACTCTGTAAAGGCAGGTTTAGGAGGTGAGAACTGCATTAGACTTGGGATTAGGCTAATAATAGGTAACATTAACACTTACTATGAGGCAGCACTACGAAGTGCTTTGTATTAGTATATTAACTTTAGTTAATCCTCACAATCACCCCATGAAACAGATACTAGTATTATACTTGTTCTGTGGATTAGGAAATGGAGACATAATTTAAGTAGCTTGTCCAAAGTCATCCAACAGACAAGTGGCAAAGCCAGGGTTCAAATCCAGGTAGTCTAGCTCCGGAGCCCATGCTCTGAACCACTAACTAGATATGAGTCCTGCTCTGCCACTTACTGGTTCTGCAAACTTGAAGGAAACACGCCTCCTCTGGTCTTGGCTTCCTCTTTTGGAAATGGACTACTGTTCGGTTCAACCCATTAGAATCACCAAGTTAGAACTGGCGGAGACACTCTGATCCATTGTGTCTCTCTCCCTGTTCAAGGGAAAAAGAACTTACTCAAGGTCACACAACAGGGCACTGGCACTAGTTTCTGTGCTCTTGCTGTGAACCTCTCTGTGGCAGGGATGAGTCAAGGGAGCTTACGAGGGATATTAGTTATGAATCTGCAATCACAAAATCAGGTGTGGAAGAAATACATTTATTTTCTTTTAACCAAAATAGATGAGAATGAGTCTCTATCCTGCTACCTGGTTTGTTCCCCTCTTCAGAATCACAAAAAGGTCCTGGGGTCTCACACAGTGCAAAACATTGAGGTGAGCCCTCTAAGTCTTGGTCTGCACAGGTTCTGCTCATACATGCTCTTAAGCTTGCAATTTCAGAAGTGTTGGTCTGTGTACTGCAGGCACAAGAGACCTTCCCAGGGAGCCTTGGTGACCAGGGCCCAGCATCCCTGGGGACTCCATGCAGCCTTTTCCCTAGGAAGTTCTATCATCTCCAGGTGCTCTGCCACAATCAGGGCAGGATCCTCACCACTCATAGGCCCCATGGACTTTTTTGTCCCCTACTTATCTTTTGGAAAACTACCCACCCTTTTACTCTCCCCTTCTTCCTCCGGGACCCTGGCCTAATCGCAGTTCACTAGAGCTTTCACTATAGGGTCCAGAAGCAGGGCTATTCTCATGCAGTCCTGCTGTCCACCCTACAAAAGCAACTAAGGCAAGGAAATGCAAAGAATTAAAGTATGTTCTTGGACTAAGTTGGGTGTGTGGGGGGTAGTGGGAAATCTAGTGAAAGCAAATTAATACACCGATAGTTTATAATGTCACACAGCTAACCACAGAAAAACGGCTTAGTAGGTAGAAGGCAAGAGCTGGGCCTACCACCTGTTTCTATCCTGCTCCTCAGGCAGGGCTGCAGTGCTACAATTCATTCCTCAGAGCTGTCCTCCCAAAGGCTCACCAAGACCCTAATTTAGCAGCAGCATGTGTGAAATTGAACTGAGTCACAGTGTAATCCAGTGAGTCAGGGAGAATAAGCCAAACATAGCTCCCAGCTACGGGCAGGCGATAGGATGGGACATCTTCCACCACTAGAGGTGCTTTAATGAAGTCATCCTTAATTCTTTTTTTTTTTTTTTTTTTTTTCCGAGACGGAGTCTCGCTCTGTAGCCCAGGCTGGAGTGCAGTGGCCGGATCTCAGCTCACTGCAAGCTCCGCCTCCCGGGTTTACGCCATTCTCCTGCCTCAGCCTCCCAAGTAGCTGGGACTACAGGCGCCCGCCACCTCGCCCGGCTAGTTTTTTGTATTTTTTAGTAGAGACGGGGTTTCACCGTGTTATCCAGGATGGTCTCGATCTCCCCATCTCGTGATCCGCCCGTCTCGGCCTCCCAAAGTGCTGGGATTACAGGCTTGAGCCACCGCGCCCGGCCCATCCTTAATTCTTAACTACAATCCTGTGAGGCAGGTATTAGTTCCCTATTTTACAGATGAGAGAACCAAGGCTTGGAGGAAATGTCACTTGACGCAGCTATGTAATCATGCGAAGTCAGAACAACTCAAGCCTGGGAGGGACTTCCAGGCCTCGTAGTCAGGCCAGTAGTTCCTCATTGTTTTTCTTCCTATAGCACATTTGCTTCCACATCATGTATTCTACACAGGTTTAAAAACCCTAGTATAATTTTCAATTTTAAGAAGCCAGCAGTAATGCCAACCTTTTCCCACTTACTCAAAAAAGTAAAAAATTGGAATGTAAGGGTCATTAGATGGCTACTGTTGACCTGCACCATCCATTAGAGAAACTTAAATTCACAAAAATTGGATTTTGTTTTTTTTTGAGACGGAGTCTCGCTCTGTCGCCCAGGCTGGAGTGCAGTGGCATGATCTTGGCTCACTGCAACCTCCTGCTCCTGGGTTCAAGCAATTCTCCTGCTTCAGCCTCCTGAGTAACTGGGATCACAGGCATGCGAAACCATGCCCAGCTAATTTTTGTATTTTTAGTAGAGATGGGATTTTACCATGCTGGCCGGGCTGGTCTCGAACACCTGACCTCGTATCTGCCCGCCTCGGCCTCCCAAAGTGCTGGGATTACAGGCGTGAGCCACTGTGCCCGGCCTACAAAAATTGGAATTTTATTACAATTACTTTTGGGTGCTTTGAGACTGGAATCTTGGTAAAGTATGGTTAATACCTGGTCTAAATCCCTGTGAGAATGGGGAATTTTCCTGTGACTGCTAAGTAAAGGTCCAGCCTCTGATTGAGCACTTGGATTGATGAGGAGGAACTCACTGCAACATTTTAAGACAATTCATTCCATAGCTCTCACTTTGGGAAAATCCTTGTCAGTCTCTAAGTCCTACTGACTTTACCTTGTCAACATCTCTAATCCAGCTCTTCCACCCTGTCCCCTCTAGTTACTACCTTAGTCCAGGCTCTGGGTTTTCCCACTTGGACTGTTGCAGCTGCTGCCAGACTGCATTCCTTTCTCCCATCTCCCACTCCTCCGATCCAGGTTCCAAGTCACCCTTCTAGTCACATTTGGATCAACACTGCAACACTTTTCTAAGACACAAAGCCTGATCATGTCACTTCTCTGTTTAGTACTCTTGGGTAGTCTCCCATTCTCTAGAGGAAGCAGGTCTTGCAGGACCCTTCACAATCTGGCCCCGACTTGTCCTTCCGGCTTTATTTCTGGCCAGGGCTTCTGTGAACTTATGCGTAAATATCAGTACTTTTAATGTGCTTATAAGGTCTGAAAATGAAATTGTTTCATGACGGCCTTTTCTTACTCTTTCTCTGCAATGTCTTACCCCACTCTCATCTGCCTGGCAGATGCACAGGAAAGGCAAAACAAATAGGCACCAAGTACAAGCTGCTTGGACTATAATCACCCACTTGCAGTGTGACCTTTGATAGGTTAACAGTATCTGTCTGCTTCAGTTCATCAATCTGTAAAACTGGGTGAGCAGAGTTAACTACTTTGTAAGGTTAGTAGGTGGTCTAAGTGAGGTAAAGTATTTAGCATACCCACTGGCATTTAAATACTCCAGAAGCAGGTATTGTTAGCTCCTTTCAAGTGTTCAAGCCTTCTCCATACAACTTACCCGATTAGTCAATTCCTTTTTTGGGCAGTGGGAACTAAACCCAGTATACTTATTTCTCTTACAGCACTCCCCACATTTATTATACTACAGATGCTTTTCAGCTTATAACGGGGCTATATCCCAGTAAACCCAACAAAAGTGGAAAATACTGTTAAGTAAAAAATGCATTTAATACACCTACCCTACCTTAAACCTACTCAGATCACTTACATTAGCTTACAGTTGGGCAAACTCATCTAACACAAAGCCTAGTTTATAATAAAGTGTTGAATGTCTCATGTAATTTATTGAATATTGTACAGAAAGTGAAAAACAGAATGGTTGTATGGATACTTGAAGTACTGTTTCTACTGAATGTGCATAGCTTTTGCACAATCCTAAAGTTGAAAAATTAGAAGTCAAACCATCATTACGTTCGGGCCCATCTGTATTTCTGCCCCCCTACTAGACTAGTTCCTTGAAGGAAAAGGCCAAAGCCCTCCAGCATTTAGCACTGGCCTTGCATGTCTAATAGAGGTTCAACATTCACTGAAACGGGGTTGGGGGGAAGAGTAGCCAGAAATTGGCCTTTTATTTCATACTTATTGATCATGGGTCAGCTTGGCTGGGGTGCAAAAGTTTATAGGATGTATTTCACTGGACCATCCTTGAACTTCCCAAAGCCATGTCCTGTTTCTTCTTGTCTTCTCTAAGCTAAGCATTCTTAGCTCCTTCAAGCTTCTTTTCCTTGACACGATTTGTCTTCTACATCTTAGCTTTTATCTGGCAGAGTGGTCATCTGTCAGGGAGCCTCCGGTTGAGCACCAGAAGGGAACATAGCAATGAGGATCACTGATAGGCACAGTTAAGACTGAAAGCACCTTCCACACTACCCTAGACAACCTAATTTTATTATCTCATCCTAGGACCACACTGGAGTTTTCTGGACACATTAACAGTTCCTGGCATAATAAACTTCTTTTATTTTAAATTTTAAGACAAGGTCTTGTCACACTGCCCAGGCTGGTCTCAAACTCTTGGGCTCAAGTGATCTGCCCACCTCAGCCTCCTGAAGTGCTGGGATTACAGGGGTGTGGCACCACACCTGGCCTTCCTGGCATAATAAACTTTTTTTTTTTTTTTTGAGACAGAGTCTTGCTCTGTCACCCAGGCTGGAATGCAATGGTGTGATCCTGGCTCACTGCAACCTCTGCCTCCCTGCAACCTCTGCCTCCCAGGTTCAAGTGATTCTCCCGCCTCAGCCTCCCGAGTAGCTGAGATTACAGGTGTGTGCCACCATGCCCAGCTAATTTTTGTATTTTTAGTAGAGGCGGGGTTTCACCACATTGGCCAGGCTGGTCTCGAACTCCTGATCTCAGGTGGTTTACCCACCTAGGCCTCCCAAAATGCTGGGATTACAGGTGTGAGCCACTGCACCCGGCCATTAAACTCTTAGCAGCACGCAGTACTGTTAGTGAGAGCACAGTACTCTATAGTCCTCAACTCTTTCCACAGATATTATCAAACTGCATTTATTGAAATGTTACATTTAGATTCTGCTCACTTTTATAGGTTGTAATGGTATTTGTTTGGATCCTAAATTTGGATTCTAAATTGTCATCCTTCCTAAGGGTTTCTTATTATCTAAAAATTTGATCAGCATTCCTAATTTACTAGTACTATCTCTTGTGTAAATGGCTTCAAATTCTTTTGTGGAATGGGTAAGGCATAAAAAAAGTCATCTGTCACTAATATCAAAGGAGGGGCCAAGGACACAGCCCTGGGGGCACGTATCAGGTCAACCCACAATGGGTGAATTTCTAGTTTGTTAGTTGGTGGTTACCAACTTCTCTATCTCCCTAATGCTTTGACTTTACTATGTCCAGATTATTTTACCTACTTAACAAAGTTAAAGAAGACTGTAAGGTCAGTTTAGCATCATTCTCTCTGAAGTCCATAATGAACGTCTATTAAACTCTCATCACTCTTATTTAGGTGCTTTTGGGTCATTTGTTGTAGGTTCATTCTTCCCAAATCAATGTCACTTATACGACTGTAACTTGTGTTATCAGCTTCCTTCCTGGGGTTTTAACTTTTCAGTCTTACAGCGTTCCCTCCTTTCAGTTCACTCCAATAAAAGCTCAACAAACTCCTGGGAACCCCTTGGTGCCCCAGCTGCTGTTTACGAGTCAGGAGACTAAAATGTCTCAGAGCAGCTAAGTGCTCTTTTTTATTTTTACCTCATTTGTCTTACCTTGAACTTTTTATTCCTTGTAACCACTTAGCCCTGCCCTTTTCAGACTGAAGCTAGTTCTCTTTGGCCAAAGACAGGAGACAAAATATGGTCTAGAGTTTCTGTCAACACGTACTGGCCTCCAACAGATCTTTTTTCTTCCTGCTGACACTGGACATAGTCTCTCCAAACTTTTTCTCATCAACAGAATGGGAATATCCACCCTGTGAACCTGTTATAAAGGTTAAATTAGATAATGTACATGAAAATGCACTGGAAACACAGTTAAGTACCTGCACACCAAGGGGTCCAAGACCTTCTACTCTCAACCACAGCCAAGTATCTGTTAGCCAGGGGTAGCCCTTAAGTGATACTAGGGCCCCTTCCTCAGGACTCACGTTCTCCTGAGACAGGATGCCTAGTCCTCCCCCAAATCAGCATGAGAGCAGAAAGGACCCTTGCCAAAGGGCTTAGGACCACTTTTGGCACTAGACATAGAACGTTTTCCTAATCAGTAGACCCAGAGGGTCCCCCATCATTCTCAGTCTGTGTGGGAGGCTTAAGCCTTCCCAAGCTCAGCAGTTCAATGCTACTGGCATGAGACCACTCTTTTGCACCAAAATCAGAGGCCAACTTGGCCTTATGCCTTTAGCACCAAATCCAACTGGCACTGCCTTGAGATAAACTACGGAGTCTGCAAGGCTGAGGGTGGTTTTCTGAGCACCACTTGGTCAGACCTGCCATCATTTCCCCAATGCCATGTGGAGAAGCAGCAGGGGCACAAGCAGTTAGCCTCAGAACCTGGCTGGCACGGGACAATTGTGAACATGCCCGCAGGCTTTTCAAAGATAGTAAAAACTTTCAACTCTTATTTCTTCCAATCTCAGTCATGGAGGTTGAACACTGGGGACACCTAGTGGCATGAAGACATTACTAGCTACGATATCCTTGGGGCCATCCCCTTGAGTGGAGATTCAGATTCACTTTATAGTCTTCCTTTTTTTTTTTTTTTTTCCTAAGACAGAGTTTTGCTCCTTTTGTTGCCCAGGCTGAAGTGCAATGGTGCGATCTTGGCTTACTGCAACCTCTGCCTCCCAGGTTCAACCAATTCTCCTGTCTCAGCCTCCCAAGTAGCTGGAATTACAGGCGCATGCCACCACGCCTGGCTAATTTTTGTATTTTTAGTAGAGACAGGGCTTCATCGTGTTGGTCAGGCTGGTCTTGAACTCCTGACCTCTGGTGATCCGCCCGCTTCGGCCTCCGAAAGTGCTGGGATTACAGGTGTGACACACTGCACCCAGCCTATATTCTATTTCTTGTGAGAATATCAATCTAAAGAAATATTCTGTGGCTATTAAAAATGGGGCACCAGATGTGGGCACTATCAAAAAAAGGGGAACACAGGCTTCATCTTTCTCCCCATGATTTGTGTGTGTGCGTGTGTGTGTGTGATGGAGTCTTGCCCTGGAATGCAATGGTGTGATATCGGTTCACTGCAACCTTTGCCTCCCAGGTGCAAGCGATTCTCCTGCCTCAGCATCCCAAGTTAACTGGGATTACAGGCATGCACCACCATGCCCAGCTAATTTTTGTCTTTTTAGTAGAGAGGGGCATTTCACTGTGTTGGCCAGGCTAGCCTCAAACTCCTGACCTCAAGTGATCTGCCCACCTCAGCCTCCCAAAGTGCTGGGATTATAGGCATTAGCCACTGTGCCCAGCCTCTCTCCAGGATTTTCTAATCCTCATTTGCTCTTTGAACCCCAAACAGACTAAACTTCCCAATTAAGGAATCTCCCTTAAAAATATTTGATTAAACAATGCCAGTTCTCTAAGAATCATTTCAGGCTAGGTTTGCCAAAACACACTAGAATGTTTAGATAGGCTCCACCTAATCCTTTCCCCCACTACTTTTACTTACCTTCTAAAGGGAATAGAAGGCAAACAGGTGCTGAGACACCTTATATCATGCAACTAAATTCATTTGTAAAGATTACTTTACTGTCCTAGAAAAATACATGTTGCAAATTTGAGGGCTACAACTTAACAACTTTAGAGGCTTCCTGAGGGAGAGGGGATAACCTCTGAATATCAGACTCTGTGGTAATGTGTGGGAGAGGCATATTAAATATAGTTGGGTCAGGTGCATTTTAAAAAAATTCCCTTTTTTCCCTTTTTTTTTTTCTAAAAAAGGAAGATCAAATTGCCATCTGTCTGGCTTATTTTGTGTGTGCATGTATATATAGGAACAGCTTGAGGGGAAGGGTTATGTCATGCAATGAGGCAAAAACAAGACGACCTCCTCTGACAGAGGAGCCTTAGTGTTGTAGAAGGGAAGCAAGGCTGAGGTCACTGGAAAGGCTTAGAATGAAGCTGCTCCTGCCTGTTCCTCCTGAGAACCCAGAGCAGCAGTGGTCCAGGGCACAAAGCATAATGATCTCTCACGAGGATTCCTATCTGAAAAAATCAGAAGTCCTATGAAAACAAATAGGTCTGTTTCAGAATATAAATGGTAGTGACTTCCTGTGCTCCTGAGGCGGGGCAAAATAATCCATAAACACATAATCCTTCTGGGCAATAATGTTTCTGGACTGGCCAGCAGAGGGCTCTAGGAACAGAGGTGGGGGTAGAGTCAGGGAGAAAAAAGGTTCTAGAGATGGGATGTCTTCAGGGGAACTTTGAGAAATGTCCTTTGTTCCAGCATTCCTAAGTGACGGCACTGGTGAGCCTGGTCTGAGTTGTCATCAGTGTCACTGCCGAGGCCAAGGGCCAAGGGTCAAGATGCCACTTTAGGTTGAGAAGAAAGTGCATCTCAAGGCCAGTGAGGGCTGCAAAATGGTTTGCGACTGGGCCAGAAGGAGCAAATGGAGAAAGGCTCCCCTTTTTAGATTCCGATGGTCTGTAGAACTCGCCTCTCGTTATCATTAAGGTGGCCTGAAAACATTATGTAGCAGGGCTGCTGAGCAAACTGGCAGAGGAAATCTGTGAGATACGCCTGGAGGAAAAGAGCAAGAGTGGCATTAGTGAGATGTTGCAAGTCACCCATTTGCAGTGAAGCAAGAACCACAATCAAATGGCACAGGGAATGCTGGTTTTTAGACAAATGCCAGCTCCCTGAGGGATGGTCTTTCATGTTCTTGGATCTAGTTTAGATAATCCACAGGGAAACAACATTTTTCCAAGGCTCTATCACCCCAAGGACCTTCACGACATAGACTTTAGAAGATGAATTACAACACATCAAGTGCAAAGTTCCAGCCCACCCAAAACACTGGACCACTCAACAAGACAAGAACTCTTTCCCGTGAGGCTCCCATGTTAAATTATAAATGGATTTTTTTTGGGAAAAAAAAAAAAGAAAGACAGGGTCTTGCTCTGTCGCCCAGGCTCAAGTGCCGTGGTATGATCACAGTTCACTGCAGCCTTGACCTCTTGGCCTCAAGCGATCCTCCCACTTCAGCCTCCCGAGTAGCTGGGACCACACGCATGTGCCACTATACCCAGATAATTTTTAATTTGTAGAGACAGGGTCTCCTCTCCGTTGCCCAGACGGTCTTGAACTCCTGGGCTTAAGCAATCCTCCTGCCTTGACCTCCCAAAGTGTTGGGATTACAGGCATGAGCCACCATGCCTGGCCATAAATGGATTTGAGCCCATATTCCTGTTTCCATGGCCTGGGACATTGCCATTTGCAAGACATCTCTGGACACCCTCACCTGCAGATCAATCTGATAGAGAGGATCCTTCAGGGCATCAGGGTCATCTTCCTCATCATCCTCGTAGTAATCCTCCTCTGTTAGACACAGCCAACATAGGGCGGGTCAGGACAAAGGCCCATATACTACCACATGACGGAGGCGGAAGGTGCAAAAGCCCAAGGAATGTCCCTGTGGGCCCACCTCTCCCCTTTCTTGGGTACCCCATTCTTGGGATCAGTGTGGAAAGAAAAGGTATTTACCATGGCTGTCCTCTTATCAAACAGCTTACCATATTTACTTGTAGCAAGAATGTCAGATAAAAGTTGGCCAGCTAAACCATCCTCCTCCTCCTCCTCTTCCTCCTCCTGGTCCTCCCACATATCATTGGAGTCATCTACTTGGAGATGAAAAGTAGCTAGAGCTAGAGCACATTCATGCATTTCCCCTCCCCAAATCCAAACAGACCAGAAGGGCCCCAAAGGCTTCTGCAATGTGGCTTGTAGTACCCAGTGAAAGAGAACCAGAAATGGCCAAACCCTTCTGGTAAATCTGAAAGAAAGAACCTGGAGATATAAAGGTTTAGAGGCTCTTAAGAAGAATCAAACCAAAGAAGGGCTATGTTAGCTTGCCTCCTGGCTGCCTCCCACTCCAGCCTTCATATGGCAGACTGGAGAAGCAGCTCTTTACATGCCTAGTGCCTAGCACGGTACCAGCCACAGAGCAGCCATTCCATTAACCATTAACTTGTTTTTTTTTTTTCAATTAGTGACTCAACAAACCAAGTTGCTAATTTGACAATTTGTAACTTGATCTGCCAGGCTAAAAGTCTCCTTGGAGTAAGGGCCTGGTGCACCTTGACTCCACTCTGCAGGAGTGGCCTGGCGAGTGGCATTAGCCTCCATGACGTTGGAGAGCTCGTTGATGATCAGCTTTAGGATCTTGACCAGCAAAGGAATGTTTGTCCAGCGTTCTGGGTCTGGGAAGGAAGAAAAAGGCTTCAAGTCAGAGTGTCACTGGGCTTACTTCTGGAAGTAGCCCTCTCCCCTCCTCGGTGCCGCTCACCAGAGTTCACCACCCCTCAGACTTTCACTGTCCCTGACTATATCTAGTCTCCAAAGAGTGATTTAAAGTTTAATAACTTTATTCTGTTTGGTATTGTAACAGTTCAGAAGGTGGGAGAGATGAGAGTTCAGGGATTAAAGGAGATAGAGTCTCGTTAGTAACAAAGCTCTGAAACCAAGGAACTGTATAGAGCCAGTACTCCAGTCCCAGTGACTTACAAATTGAGAGACAGCGGAGGTAATTATAAATCTACATTAAAGATAGCAGCTCTATACTCCCTACCTGCAAATCCTTGGCGTTACAGGCCAAAGTCAACTCAATAACAAAGACACACTAACCATCTGTGCCCAAGCCTCAGAATGAAGCTGGAAACTGGGATGCTTGGTACCTGAGACTATTTTTGTCCTTTTTTTTTTTTTCCCCCTCCAGACAGAGTTTCGCTCTTGTTGCCCAGGCTGGAGTGCAATGGCGTGATCTTGGCTCGCTGCAACCTTCGCCTACCAGGTTCAAGCTATTCTCCTGCCTCAGCCTCCTAAGTAGCTGGGATTACAGGCATGCGCCACCATGCCTGGCTAACTTTGTATTTTTAGTAGAGATGGGGTTTCTCTATGTTGGTCAGGCTGGTCTCGAACTCCTGGCCTCAGGCGATCCGGCAGCCTCGGCCTCCCAAAGTGCTGGGATTACAGGTGTGAGCCATCGCACTCACTTTTTATTTTTTTGAGATGGAGTCTTGTTTTGTTGTCTAGGCTGGAGTGCAGTGGCACGATCTTGGTTCACCACAACCTCTGCCTCCCAGGTTCAAGCGATTCTCCTGCCTCAGCCTCCCAAGTAGCTGGGATTACAGGCGCCCACCACCACATCTGACTAATTTTTGTACTTTTAGTAGAGACAGGATTTCACTATGTTGGTCAGGCTGGTCTCAAACTCCTGACTTCAAGTGATCCATCCGCCCTGGCCTCCCACCAACTGCTGGAATTACAGGCGTGAGCCACCACGCCCAGCTCATTTTTGTCCATTTTTGACAACAGGAAGAAACCATATGTTCTGATCCCTTTTATCTAAGTTTCCTGTTGCTTCTTTATCAAACCCATCACCAACAATTATGTTTTAAAAATATACACCACAATGCATTCCTTCCCTCCACCCAGGTATCCTTAGCCCCTTATTATAGGGAGAGGATTGGAGGAATTGCAGCATCACCCACTTTTGGCTGACTTAGAGCGGGTGCGGATGCCCTCATCCATGCTGTAGATCTCCTCTCCCTTCACACGGATATCCTGTAGCCGTTTGTCATCTGCGTTGATGCCATGCTGGAGCAGCTTACAGAGTGCCACAGAGCTGGCAAGGAAGATCCAAAAAAAGGTCAATCAGTTACCTATCTAGAGTTCATGCCAAGGAGATAAGCAATCATGTCCTAAGGCCCTCTATTTGACAGTGAAAATTCTGTTAACAACTAATTAGGAGAGCTAAGAGAGTTCAGCTGAAAATGAGATTTTAGAGTTCATGAGATGGTCTAATGAGATCTGTTCTTCTTCTTCTTTTTTTTTTTTTTTTTGTGATAGGGTCTCATTCTGTCACCCAGGCTGAGTGCAGTGGCGTGATCATGGTTCACTGCAAAGCCTTGACCTCCCTGGATTCAGGTGATCCTCCCACCTCAGCCTCCTGAGTAGCTGGGACTCCCGAGTGGGTAGGCACGTGCTACCATGCCTGGCTAATATTTTTGGTAGAGACAGGTTTCACCACGTTACCCAGGTGGGTCTCAAGCAATTTGCCCACCTCAGTCTTCCAAAGTGCTGGGATTACAGGTAACCTGTTCTTCTTGAACAAAGCTAGGGTGGGCAAGCATCACGATGGCTATCCATACTGTAACGTGCAACGAAGTGATAAGAATCAGTGGTATAAAAGTCCAGGATAGAAAGTTAGGAAGCCAGGGTTAGAGGCTTGGGTTTTTTATTTTGAGACAGTTTTGCTCTTGTGGTCCAGGCTGGAGTGCATCTGCCTGTCGCCCAGGCGTGATCTGCCTCCTGGGTTCAAGCGATTCTCCTGCCTTAGCCTCCCGAGTAGCTGGGATTATAGGCACCCACAACCACATCTAGCTATTTTTTGTATTTGTAGTAGAGAGAGGGTTTCACCATGTTGGCCAGGCTGGTCTTGAACTCCTGACCTCCAGTGATCTGCTTGCCTCAGCCTCCAAAAGTGCTGGGATTATAGGTGTGAGCCAGTGCGCCTGGCCAAGGCTTGGGCTTATAAAGGAAAATAAGCCACTAGCAGCACTTAGCTGTGTGAAGTCTGCGGTAGAAAAGGGATCTCTAGCAAGCAGAGATCAGAAATATATAGTCTACCTGTGTTGACTGTCTTTTGGGGATTTCAAGATGGCAGCTATTCACATATGTGCCTTAGCAATAAAGAAAGACAAGGAAAAGGGAATACAAAGAGCCATCTGAAATGTCAAACAAAAATCAATGGAGCAAATCAGGGAAAAAAAGAAATATAGGTCAGGAGCAGAGGCTCACACCTGTAATCCCAGCATTTTGGGAGGCCGAGGTGGGTGGATCACTTGAGGTCAGGAGTTCAAGACCAGCCTGGCCAACATGGTGAAACCCTGTCTCTACTAAAAATACACACACACACACACACACACACACACACACACACAAGGATTAGCTGGGTGTGGTGGAAGTTGCAGTGAGCCAAGATTGTGCCACTGCACTTCAGTCTGGGGGACAGAGTGAGACTCTGTTTCAAAAAAAAAAAAAAAAAAACAAAAGAAAGAAATATAAGTGGTGAAGTGGTGGCAGAATGCCCAGAAAAGATGGGATTCTACCTGACTTTGCCTTCATACTGTCCATAGAACAGGTGCTGTCGGCTTGTCCACTCAGCCATCACAAACTCTAGAGCAGGTTTGCCAGTAGGTCCTGGGAGGCTACACAGGAACTCCAAAAGAGGTTCTAGCTGAGTGTGCACCAGATGAGCAAACACCATGATCAGGGACTAGGAGAAAATAAGGACATTTGCTTCAGGGAAATCAATTTCAGAGACATAAGAGATGAGAGGGAACTGGCCAGTCAGATAAGAGACAGAGTCTACACTGAGGGTATTATTCACAGGACAAGAAAACATGGAGATTTCCTTGTCCATGTTTCTTAGGCCAGACAGATCCCATTTTACTTAACTGTCCTACAAGGGTAGTAACAGGGTAAAATAACTCAGGACCAAAATACTAATTTTCACTTCTATCAGCCAGGGAGTAGGAAGCCCACTCCTTACTGTTCTCTTACCTGCATGACACTGAGCGTCTCTGCCTGCTGCATCTTACTGAGGATGGCACGAAGAATCTGGTCTAGATTCTCCCCCAGCTCCCGCCCTGCCTTGGAGATGAGGGTGGAAACAAGGCGGCCCACAAAGGCCGCAGTGAACTCTGAGGTGCGGGGGTCCAGGAGCTGGCTCACCACTTGCATCACATACCACAGTCCATTGTGGCCCTGCTCATCATGCCACTGGGCTACTTGTTCCAGGGTCACTGACACATAGGCCCGCAAGCACTCTCCGCCATTCTGGGGAGACAGGGGTGGCAAGCAAGATTAGTAACCGAGGGACAGATGCCAGGAGGCCCTCAGTCTGTATAAACAAATGTTCTCAGAGGCCTATGCCTCATAAAAGCGGTGAGTCTATAGTATTTGTGGTGGGCTCATACCACTGGAATCAGGAATTTACTGTTACAGACACAGACATGCATTACATAATTCCCCCTTTACCTAATGAGCTATCTCAAAAATGTGTATTATTATTATTTTTTAATCACAAGGGACAATGGCCAAGCAAAATGAATTTTAATCATAAAGGTCTACCTCTGGTACTAAAAAAATATGCTTACAATCTTGCAATAATTGGGGATACGATAGGACCTCATATAGGTCTTACACAAACCACTAGTTGCCTAGGGATTTCTAAGCTGATCAATATTCACTGGCAAGTTCCTATAACCTTTATAATCAATGACGGTAGTACACACCTGAAAAGGTAACCAATTCACCCAGGAAACAAAAGGAGAAAAAATATTTAGGCATCTCTCCCCTCTCTAGAGGCCCATCACTCTGCTGATTTTATTAATAGAGGAAATATGCAGAAAGACTTTCTTATGGCCCCAAGTCTAGATGTCTGTAATCTCTTTCATAGTAGCAATACCCAATACAGATGGGCAGGGTGCTTGGTATCTGTATTTTCAAAAACTGTAACATGCTCCAAAGCACCAGAAACGCTTGGCTTTTGCAGCCTGAACCCTTCCTGAATCTGCTAAGTAAATATGGAGTTGAGGAATTCCGTATTTCAAAAGCATAAAACCATGTCAGATTTCTCAGTGTAGTAAAGGCCCATGACTGGGGAGCTATCTTCCCCCTTCTAGTCTCCATGTCTCAGATACCTGCATGGTGGCATTGTCATCTGTGTGAAGGGTACACTGTGCCACAGCAGGGAAAGCTTGGCAGATGAGAAGCTGGGAAAGGGGAGGCTTTGTATTTCGTACTACTGTTGTCAGGATATCAATGGCTGTCTGAAAGAGAGAAGAAAAAAGAGTCAGAATTGCCTCTGGGGTTGGGGGTGCCCAACAACTAAGATCCTTACTGGATGGGTATCACATAGCAACCCAGAGAAAGCTTATTAATGAAAGGCAAGTTTCCAAAATAAAAGGAATAATTAAATGGGTAGTGCTCTCAGCCTCCTCATAATAGCTTACTAATTGATTAGTCCTAAGGGTGGGCACTAATACATGGTAGTGGATTGGATAACCAGGTAACATACTTAGTGGCGCTGTGTAATGGTGGCACTCTGTTCAATTCACTGAGGGTACCTCTGAAACAAGAAGAGCCATTTTCTTTCTTTTATTCTTTTTTGAGGCAGAGTCTCGCTCTGTCACCCAGGCTGGAGTGCAGTGGTGCGATCTCTGCTCACTGCAACTTCTGCCTCTTGGGTTCAAGGGATTCTCCTGCCTCAGTCTCCCAAGTAGCTGGGACTGCAGGCGCCTGCCACCATGCCCGGCTAATTTTTGTATTTTTAGGAGAGATAGGGTTTCACCATACTGGCCAGGCTGGTCTCAAACTCCTGACCTTGTGATCTACCTGCCTTGGCCTCCCAAAGTGTTGGGATTATAGGCGTGAGCCACCGCGCCAAGCCAAGTCATTTTCTTAAAGCTTCAGAGAATCACCCACTGTCATTGTGGGCAAAAGAGCTCAGCAAAATCACCCCGTGAATCTCTAATGCTATTAGGTTCTTGTCAGCTACATGCATCTGTGGGTGGCACTTGTATATCTCACACACACACAGCCACTTACCGCACAGAGCCCTGCAGGGATCTTGTCTGCTGGGGCCTGCATTATGCTGACCAGAGTGGGAATCAACCTCATTTGCATTGGGCCCTGACAGGCTTCAATCTGGGACAGCTCCTTGAAGATGTCCTGAGCCAGTGAGGCGACGACAGGATCTGAAGTGGATAAGGCAACACGGAATCCCCCTGCCTGATGGTCTGCATCTGCTTCTCGCTTAATGATGCCTGTTGTTTGCCCTAACCTAACAACTTCTGCATTGATTACTTATCACACATCCGGGACCTAGTGGGGCCACATGAATAACCTGAAAGAACAGGAGTGATCCTAAATCTCCAAGAGGTACACTTTGTATGGCTTCATTAAAGTAGGGACTAGTCTTTAACAGCTACTCCTAAAACAAAATGTAGTTTTTCTAAAGAAAAATCTTTAAAGTCTTTATTCTTGTGAAACCTAGATTATAAAACCATATGCTTTAAAAAAAAAAAAAAAAAAAAGCCCAACTGATACTTTTAAGAAGAAAGTTGCAAAAATTGCCAAAACACTGACTTTGATACATGAGAGAAATCATACATATCTCCTATGAGGTAGCCATGGTAGCCATGAATAATTCTCAAAGCTACTTCTGGGGCAAAAGGCAAAACTCCTAAAAAGCAGAGCCTTATGAAGAAAGGGAACTTTAGCTCAATCTTCTTTATCTATATAACAAAACATCCTCCTCTATTTAGTATGGAAAAATATAGGCAATGTATATTAAAGTATATCTTAAAAGATCACTGCAGCATTGTTTGTAATAGAAAAAAATTGGGAATACCCTAGATGTCCATTAGCAGAATGGGTAAATTATGATATACCCATTTTATGGAATACTATGTGATGGCTGAAAGAATGAGATATATCCAAGAACACAATGTGGAAAGCTCCTCAGTACACATTTTTCAGTGAAAAAGCATATCTAGTAACATGTTCAGTATATCACATTATATAAACAATCCTTATCCTGTACATCTTTCTGAGCTTCAATATTGGAGCTCTCTCTTTAAAAAAAAATAAAATCCTTAATATTTTACTAGTAATAAGGTATTAATAAACACATTCACTATAGGAAAAAAAAAACTTAAACTGCAGAAAAGTAATAAAGAAAACACCTGTAATTCCACCACCCAGAGATAAACACTCTTAAAATTTTGATGTATTTTTTTCTTTTCTTTTTTTTTTTTTTTTAACATACTTATCTATACATATATCCTTTCCTAAAGAAAAATCAAAACTTGGGATCATATTCTATGGATTTTTGGGGAAAAGTATCTTTTCATTTATTACAATGTAAGCTCTTTCCCATGGTTTTAAATATTCCTTTTAAGCTCGATTTTTAATGGCTGAACAGTATTTCATTTTATGGATATAATTAACTAATGTCTTTTTATAATTTCCAAATTTTTACTACTGTAAAAAATATCTAGTGAATACCTTTGTTCATAAACTTTTACATGTATCTTTCTTTAGTATCTCCTTTTCTAAATTATAGTCCTAGCCCTTTTCTTTTAGGAGGCTTTTCATTTGCCAAATTTCCTATTCTATCATCAAAGTTCTGAATTATGTCTCTTGCTTATAAGCCCTTTATTTATTATCTTTTTCCCTAAGTCCTTACTAGAGAGTGTTACAGAAATAGGTACTCTATTTTTTAATGCTGCTACATTTACAGCACAATTCTATTTTTTGCTAATCCAAAGCCAGATTCTTTGCTTATGATGTTAAAACCATAGCATCATAGGTAAGACCAAACCTAGGGAATCTTTCATTTAAATTCCCCAGCCACCACCTTTTCTTTGGTGCCCCTCATAACACAGTTCTCCCTGGTGGCATACCATTACTGTACTTTAGGAAAATGGCGATGGTGAAGGGGCAGATTTTGCTTTCCATGCTTGCTGTGAATTCGGGGTCTACTGTACAAACGATGCACAGGGTCTCCATCACCAGGTTGAGGACCTCTGAGCTGAACTGGGCTGCTAGGTGAATTAGGCCATCCAGGATACTGGGGAGGAAGGGCTGGAGCACATGGGTACTCTCTGATACTTTCAGTTGGTCACAATAACTAGAGAGAGACAGATAAGCAAGAATTATTTAAAAAATTCAATTCCTGGTTTTCCCAATTAATCTCACGTATTATAGCATTTATATGTGTAGCTTTATAAAGCAAATTCTAAAGTTAGGTAAGTTTCTACTTCTTTCTGGATGTATTATATAAACATTAGCACCACCATTTCTATGTTCTCTATTTATTTGACTTTTGCTATTTTCTTTAAAAACTTCTGCTTTTTTTCTTGAAGTTTTTTTTTCTGCATCCCGAAACAAGCTTAATTTATATAAACATTTTTTTTTTTTCTTGAGACGGAGTCTCGCTCTGTCACCCAGGCTGGAGTGCAGTGGTTGTATCTCGGCTCACTGCAAGCTCTGCCTCCCGGGTTCACGCCATTCTCCTGCCTCCTCAGCCTCCCGAGTAGCTGGGACTACAGGCGCCCGCCACCTCGCCTGGCTAGTTTTTTTGTATTTTGGTAGTAGAGACGGGGTTTCACTGTTTTAGCCAGGATGGTTTCAATCTCCTGACCTCATGATCCACCCGTCTCGGCCTCCCAAAGTGCTGGGATTACAGGTTTCAGCCACCATGCCCGGCCTTATATAAACATTTTATTTATACTTTCGAAATCAGCCTATTAGCTGTAGGATTTAAAGTTCCCTTATAGTTTTACTGTATTAGCCTCTTTTCAATCAACAAATATTTACTGAATGTTGCTTACCATGTCCAAAATGATACAATTGTTAAAAACACATTGTCTAGGACCAGGCACTGTAGCTCACGTCTGTAATCCCAGCACTTTGACGGGCCAAGGCAGGCAGATCACCTGAGGTCAGGGGTTCAAGAGCAGCCTGCCCAACATGACAAAACATCTCTACTAAAAATGCAAAAAAATTAGCTAGCCGTGGCGTTGCGCACCTGTAATCTCAGATACCTGTAATCTCAGAGAGGCTGAGCCATGAGAATCACTTGAACCTGGGAGGCAGAGGTTGCAGTGAGGCGAGATCATGCCACTGCACTCCAGCCTGGGTGACAAGAGCGAGACTGTCTCAAACAAAAACAAAAACAAAACCACAACAACAAAAATTATCTAAATCTTTACTTTTGTTTATCTTTAGAATGGCAATAAGTTACAAGGCAATAAAACATTGTTTCTCTATGTTAAAAGAACCTAATATAGAAACAAGGCACTTAGCAGTACTCAATAAGCGGTTCTTCTTTCTTTCTTTCTTTTTTGAGATGGAATCTCACTCTGTTCCCCAGACTGGAGTGCAGTGGTATGATCTCGGCTACCTGCAACCTCCGCCTCCCAGGTTCAAGCAACTCTCCTGCCTCAGCCTCCCGAGTAGCTGGGAATACTGGGAATACAGGCACCCGCCACCACGCCCAGCTAATTTTTGCATTTTTCGTAGAGACTGGGTTTCACTATGTTGGCCAGGGTGGTCTTGAACTCCTGACCTCAGGTGATCCGCCTGCCTTGGCCTCCCAAAGTGCTGAGATTACAGGCGTGAGCACTGTACCCAGCCAATAAATGTTCTTTTTCTTAACTTAAATGTTTTATTTTAAATGTCTTATAACCGTATTATTTGTGTTGGCTTTCCAAGGTCCACAATGACCAGTGAAACTGTGGGCTTTAATCTCAGATCTGTCCACAGACTTTTTGATTTTTGGTTCATGTTTGATTCCAATACTACCCTGCTCTGACCAAACTTCTAAAGAGCTGATGTGGAACCTGGCTTTGGTCAGTTCTCAACTCCTTAGACTAGCTTTTGGATCCATCCCTCGACCAGCATTTATCTGTCCTCTCCCTCCCTCCATTTCCCACTTCTATTCTAAGGGTTTATAGTTACTTTGCCCCTCTAATGAACTTGAAACTGTACAGTATGGTAAAACATAGAGTTTGCATCATCTGTCTACATCATACTGGATCTTGTATGCCATGCTAAAAGAGATTGAACTTTATTTTGGAAGTTGGTGTTTCTTTAACTTGTGTTACTCCTAACACCTAATCTTCTCTTTACCCTAAAGTCTCCAGGGGAAACTGATGTCCCAGGAAAATATTATATATTTATCCGTGGCTTCCTATACTGCCTGATATAATACGACTTTCTTCTGAAGTACCTCTATCTCAAGTTTGAAGAGAATAACTGGGAGCCACGAATGATTTTTTTTTTTTTTGAGATGGAGTCTCGCTCTGCTGCCAGGCTGGAGTGCAGTGCCATGATCTCGGCTCACTGCAACCTCCACCTCCTGGGTTCAAGTGATTCTCCTGCCTCAGCCTCCTGAATAGCTGGGACTACAGGCATGCACCACCACACCCAGCTAATTTTTTTTTGTATTTTCAGTAGAGATGGGGCTTCACCATGTTGGCCATGATGGTTTTGATCTCCTGACCTTGTGATCCGCCCACCTCGGCCTCCCAAAGTGCTGGGATTATAGGCGTGAGCCACTGCGCCTGGCCGTCATGAATGATTTTAACAGCAGGAGCAAGAAAATCAGTTTTCTATTTTAGAAAGATCAACTTGACAGCTCAAATAATATGGTCTGCAGAAGTGTGAGGCTGCAGATAGATCAATCAGGAAGCTGCTGCAGTAATTCAAGGAAGAGAAATAGCACAATCAGGGTAGTAGCAAGGGAAGACGGGAAGGAAGAGATGAGAGGCCAAGGAACCAAGATCTAAAAGGCAAATATCTGAGATCTCTACCTTCATTAAAACAGGGAATACAAGATGTTTAAGTTCAAGATCTAAAGTTACAAGATTTCTACCTTTAATAAAAAGGAAAATACTGGTAGGACAGGCCTGAAGGTGATAACAAGCTCAGTAGTAAATGTGTTGATTTTCAGGTACTTGTAAGATATCTATCCTGGTATGGATAGTAAGCAATGAATACATTAGTTTGTAGCTCAGGAGAAAGTTTGACATAAATTTGAGTTAAAAAATGTGAAACAAGTATAATTATTTGTCAATCAGTATCTTGTTTCAGAGATTATTTAAGGGAGTTTGCAATGATACATAAACTATGACATGAAGGAATAAATTAAAACTGGGGCTAAGGAAAAAAAGAAAAGCAACGGTGGAATGCTTATCATTAAAAGGTTACTAGTGACATTAGAAAAGACAGCTGCAGACTGGGCGCAGTGGCTCACGTCTGTAATCCCAGCACTTTGGAAGGTGGGGGTGGGCGGATCACCTGAGGTCGGGAGTTGAGACCAGCCTGACCAACATGGAGAAACCCCATCTCTACTAAAAATACAAAATTAGCCAGGTGTGGCGGCACATGCCTGTAATCCCAGCTGCTGGGGAGGCTGAAGCAGGAGAATTGCTTAAACCCAGGAGGCGAAGGTTGCGTTGAGCTGAGATCGTGCCATTGCACTCCAGCCTGGGCAACAAGAAATAACTGTCTCAAAAAAAAAAAAAAAAAAAAGAAAAAGAAAAAGAAAAGAAAAACAGTTCCAATAACGTGACAGGGACGTAAGCCAGTCTGCAATTGGCTGGTAAACTAAATAGGAAATGACTAAATGGAAACTCTTTATTGAAAGATAGCTAACGATCCATTCATAGGACAGGTCTTAACCGGGATCCACAGATAGGCTTCAAGGAATTCAGTGTTTGACAATGAACATAAAATTTTCTAAACATATATGAGTGTCCATTTCTCTGGTCTGAATATCCATAGCTTTTGTCATCCTTCAGAGAGACCTGTTACATCTCTCAAGAAAACCACTAAACCACTACCCATGTGGTCCAAGAGATATGAACATTAAAAATAAAAGTTTTCTTCACAGTTCTTCTGATTATAAAAGTAATATAAACTTGTTGAAACAAACAAAATGTTTTATATATATAACAGAGAATGAAAGTTCTTTGTACTCTAATCTCCCCCAGAGAGAATCAAGGTTGGTAAGTATGCCTGATAGGTACTGCCGTCTACCTAAAACACTCTGGAAAGTAATGGGTTTATTTTACCCAAAGTACTTTCACATTCATACCAAACTCCTCTCACAGCTTGCAGCTGCAAACATTTCCATAAAATTACAACACAAAGTGGATAATTCTCCAATGAAATCAAGTTTCACAAAGGTCAGAAGCTATACAGGCAGTGACCACAGGTACACACTCAGAAAAACCCTTAAAATAATATTCATGACTTAGGCAGCCAGGGCTCTCTCTTCTCAGACTTTTACAATGGTCTTAGAGCTTTCTGAAATGCTATACTTAGTTTGCCTCTTAAGATAATACTTCTAATTATTTTAGAGCCAAAGTTCTGCTTCACCTAGATTGAAGCAGAAAAAGATGGGACTCTGTTTATGGTCATAACATTAAGCATTTAATTAAAACAGGCAGTTCATGAATGCTTTCTAATGACACATAACACGGCATCTCAAAAGGTACTCCTCTGCCTTAAAAGGTATGACAGGGCAGGCACATGGAAAATAAATTTTGTGTTGGTAGTTTTAGGATTCAGTTGAGATGTTTAAGTTTGAGACTAAAATATTCCTTAAAACAATGGTCCTTCTAGTCTGTGTAGGAATATAAATAAATGACTTTTGATCCATTAGTAACACTAGCCTTAAAAAAGACAGTAAAACTGGGAAAAAATAAGCAGTGTTTCTAGGCCACATTATCCCAGATTTGGTTTCTAATATAAATATAATCAACCAACAAAACGATGTGGACTCTAATCCTGCTTCTATCATTCATCAATTGTGCAACCCTGTGCAAAACATTTTTCTCTCCAAGCCTCAGGTTCTTTAGCATTAAGAGAAAGGGAGTTGCCTAGATGATTCCAGAACTGGAGTGAATTTAAAGAAGAAGAGGAGCAGAAAGAAACAGGACATCTCCTGGACTCATAAAATCCATGTCCCTGGCATGGTTTCTTTCCCTGTCCTTCCAACATTCACCCTGAAGGAGATCATTAGCGAGGATTTCCAAGCAACATAATTCATTGGAAAACTGTGATTTGGTATATCTAACCTGAGTAACTTTCCCTTAAGATAATTATCACCCTAGGGTAGCATACTCACCCCCAGATGGCTCTCACTGCAGAAATTCGAACTGACGGGGGCTGTGTCTCGTGAAGACCACTAACTGTTGCCTGTAGGAACTGCTGGATCAGTTCAGGGGACATAGCAACAGTGAACCGACTGGCAGCCCAAAGTGCCCGGCCCAAGAGGAAAGGAGACACTGGGAGAAAGACAGAGCAATTAGGGGCTGGAAAATGAAAATTCCTATTACTTGTCCTTTCTCTTTCCCACATTCATTCCAAATTTTTTTTTTTTTGAGATGGAGTCTCACTCTGTCACCCAGGCTGGAGTGCAATGGTGCAATCTTGGCTCATTGCAACCTCTGTCCCCCCAGGTTCAAGCAATTCTCCTGCCTCAGCCTCCTGAATAGCTGGGATCACAGGCACCTGCCACCACGCCCAGCTAATTTTTTGCATTTTTAGTAGAGATGGCGTTTCGCCATGTTGGCCAGGCTGGTCTAAAACTCTGGACCTCAAGTGATCTGCCCGCCTCAGCCTCCCAAAGTGCTGGGATTACAGGCATGAGCCACCACGCCCGGCCCTCCATTCCTCAATTTTTTAGAAGTAAATGGATGCTACATAGTATGTACAACTTATTTGAGAGAAAAAGCGTAACCTTGTATGATGAAAGCAAATGTGTGACCTGTGGTACAAAATCAATTTCCCAGTTTTCCCTTGTCTCTTGTGAGCAAAGTAGATCTTGAATACTATTAGATTAAAAGGATTTTACCACCCTAGTCCTCACCCTGAGCTCTCATTATTCCTTACCTGCACTACTAGTTAATCTTTTTTTTTTTTTTGGAGGTGGAGTTTCGCTCTTGTTGCCCAGGCTGGAGTACAATAGCGCGATCTCGGCTTACTACAAACTCCACCTCCTGGGTTCAAGCGATTCTCCTGCCTCAGGCTCCCCAGTAGCTGGGATTACAGGTATGCGGCACCATGCCCAGCTAATTTTGTATTTTTAGTAGAGATGGGGTTTCTCCATGTTGGTCAGGCTGGTCTCGAATCCCCAACCTTAGGTGATCTACCTGCCTTCGCCTCCAAAAGTGCTGGGATTACAGGCCTGAGCCATGGCGCCCGGCCCACTTAATCTTCTAAATGCCATCTCCATTGTTGTTTATCCCCACTTTTGGACCACTCTTTTTTTCCTTTTTTCTTGAGACGGAGTCTCGCTCTGTCACCCAGGCTGGAGTATAGTGGCACCATCTCAGCTCACTGTAACCTCTGCCTCCCAGGTTCAAGTGATTCTCCTGCCTCAGCCTCCCGAGTAGCTGGGATTACAGGTGCATGCCACCATGCCTGGCTACTTTTTGTATTTTTAGTAGAAACGGGGTTTCACCATATTGGTCAGGCTGGTCTCGAACTCCTGACCTCAAGTGATCTACCCGCCTCGGCCTCCCAAAGTGCTGGGATTACAGGCATGAGCAACCGCGCGCGGCCTTGGACCACTTTTAAAACTTTAATTATAGCTCTGATCATGTCATTCTTCTATTTAAAATCTGTCAATGAATTCCATAGTCCACCAAATAAAGATTACCCTAGTCATCATGTTATTCAAGGCTCCCTAAGATCAGTGACTCTAGCATTACCTATGATTTCCCTTTATTGTTTCCAAACTCAAGTACACATCCCTCCTTAGCAACTTACATCTTACTCTCCCAGCTCTCTGCCTTGCTCATATTGCAAGCCAACATATTCACCTCCTTGCATTACTTATTTATTCATCTCTTAGGCTGAAGCAATTCTAACTATCTCTGTGCCACAGTAATTCTGTGTTTAGTGTTCTTACATGTTATATATATTGTTTGATAGTCTAGCCACTAATTTAAGGATTACTACCCTTGTTTACTATAAGCTGCTGAGGAGAGACTATTCTTATTCAGCTTGTCACAGGGCTTAACTTGGTTACTCACACAATAAACATCCTGTTGACAGAAAACATTGAACAGAACCTAATAAACTGTGCCAAACAATTATACAATACAGATGCTCCTCTGCTTATGATGGGGTTACTTCCTAATAAACCCATCGTAAGTTGAAAATACTGCAAGTTAAAAATGCACTTAAATTTAATACTGAACATCACAGCTTAACCGAGCCTACCTTAAACATGCTCAGGACACTTACATTAGTGTAAAGTTGGGCAAACTCATCTAACACAAAGCCTATTTTATAATAAAGTGTTGAATATCTCATATAATGTATTGAATACTGTACTGAAAGTGAAAACAAAATGGTTGTAAGGGTACTTGAAGTATGATTTCTACTAAATGTATATTGCTTTGGCATCACTGTAAAGTTGAAAAATCGTAAGTCCAATCACTGTAAGTGAGAAACTGTTTATAACTTTATATAATGTACAGAAGCAGTTCCCAAAAGGATGGTCCAGAAATTCCCTAAAGTTAAAACTATTTTCTTTTTTTTTTTTTTTTTTTTTTTGACGGAGTCTCGCTGTGTCGCCCAGGCTGGAGTGCAGTGGCGCGATCTCGGCTCACTGCAAGCTCCGCCTCCCGGGTTCACGCCATTCTCCCGCCTCAGCCTCCGAGTAGCTGGGACTACAGGCGTCCGCCACCACGCCCGGCTAGTTTTTTGTATTTTTAGTAGAGATGGGGTTTCACCAAGTTAGCCAGGATGGTCTCGATCTCCTGACCTCGTGATCCACCCACCTCGGCCTCCCAAAGTGCTGGGATTACAGGCTTGAGCCACCGCGCCCGGCCAAAACTATTTTCAAAGTAATACAGAGACATTAGTTTTTTCACCTTCATTCTTTCTTTCTTTTTGAGATGGAGTCTCGCTCTGTTGCCCAGGCTGGAGTGCAGTAGCACGATCTTGGCTCACTGCAACCTCCGCCTCCTGGATTCAAGCAATTCTCCTACTTCAGCCTCATGAGTAGCTGGGATTACAGATGTGTGCCACCATGCCCACCTAATTTTTGTATTTCTCAGTAGAGATGGGGTTACACCATGTTAGCCAGGCTGGTCTTGAATTCCTGACCTCATGATCTGCCCACCTCAGCCTCCCAAAGTGCTGGAGTTACAGGCATGAGCCACCAAGCCCAGCCTCGCTTTCATTTCTTTTTTTTTTTTTTTAAATTTATTTTTTTGAGACGAAGTCTTGCTCTGTTGCCCAGGCTGGACTGCAGTGGCGTGATCTCGACTCACTACAAGCTTCGCCTCCCGGGTTCACGCCATTCTCCTGCCTCAGCCTCCCGAGTAGCTGGGACTACAGGCACCCACCACCATGCCTGGCTAATTTTTTTTTTGTATTTTTAGTAGTGACGGGCTTTCACCATGTTAGCCAGGATGGTCTCGATCTCCTGACCTCGTGATCCGCCCACCTCAGCCTCCCAAAGTGCTGGGATTACAGGCACGAGCCACCACGACCAGCCACTTTCATTCTTTCACAAGTATACAGTGTAGTTTTCCAGAGGTTATGTGATATGTGATATTCATGGCTCTGACAGCCAGTGGAATGCATGTTTCCATTTCTTTTATTTTAAAAACATCTCAGTTTTAATTTTTAGTATAGTAAATATTAATAAATCAAAGCCACATAAAAATGTCTTTTAAATTGTTGATAATTTGTAACCAGAAAGTTTCAGAATGGTTGGAGTAGAAAAGGTTTTAGCTACAGGCAGGATTAACAAATGATATATACTGAGCCTTTTTCCAGTCTAAATGACAAATATTCTAAAATTTCCAAAGTCTTTGAAAAATCTTTGCTAGGGTAAACTCTACAAGAAATGTGTTAATGGGCTTCAGAAATCTTTCAATGTAATTACAGGATGCCTACTCAAGGCACTTGTAGGATACAAACATTAGACATGACTTCTATTCTCAGAGACCTTACTAGTAGGAGTAAGAAAACATATTCAACAATGCAGCATATGGTAAGTACAGAGTGAAACAGGATATTCCCAATGGATCTGAGCTCTGGATGTACAACCATTTTAATTTGTGATTCAGAGAATGGAAGTGATGGAGTGAGATACCCGATAATAGATTACCTATTTAAAATCACAGAGCAGAATATTTTCAAATGACGTAAGCTACTCCCAGAACTATCCTATGGAGAGGAAGTAAATGGACTGAAAACGGAGCAAACCATACCAAACGTTCCATGATTTAGGTACTGAGAGAGAAAGCAAAGGTAGTGTTTTGGGATGGGGATCTGGCTCCAAGGATGAGAAAAGGCATGGCATGGCAGAAGCAAGTAGCAGAAAATGCCACACAGACAATGATTCTTAGCTAGTGCTCTGTATTGTGGAAGAAATCGGTCTAATAGTAAAGGGCTACTTTTTTTTTTTTTTTTTTAACTGAGTCTTGGTCTGTCACCCAGGGTGGAATACAGTGGTATGATCTCACTTCACTGCAACCTCCGCCTCCTGGGTTCAAGTGATTCTCCTGCCTTAGCCTCTTGAGTAGCTGAGACTACAGCCTCCCGCTACCACACCCGGCTACTTTTTATATTTTTAGTAGAGGTGGGGTTTCGCCAAGTTGGCCACGCTGGTCTTGAACTCCGGACCTCAGGTGAGTCACCTGCCTCAACCTCCCAAAGTGCTGGGATTAGAGGCGTGAGCCATCACACCTCGCCTACTTTTTTCTTTTTAAGACAGACAGCTAACATGGAATGAGAATGGAACACTTTAATTATTTGGATATTGGCCAAAAATAAAGTTTGAGAAAAATGACAGGAAACAAACAGGAAGAATATGCCTGATACAGAATGCTTCAACAATGGGAGCAGAACTCGATAATTCTGAAGATACAGCACCAGATTTGTAATCCATTCAAATGCCAAAAACAACCACAAATGGGAATGCCAATTTGGGAAAAAACATTAACATCATGGAAGAATTATGAACTAGGCAATATTAGATTGTTATTAGGTGAAGCTTAAGTCAAGGTCTCTGGGCTGTTTTAGAGGTTTGGATGAGTTCAAGCTGTAGGGTGCAAACAATTTTCACTCAAAGGACACAATAATATCTGGCCTACCAGTCTAAGTGAACAATATAACCAAGTTAATGACAGGTCTAAAAAGCTTCTAGCATCCTGGCATGTGCTGAAACATACCTGAGAGGTTGAGGTCTGCAAGGATGACATTGGTCAGGAACCCATGCATGTCAAAATGAATCCTGCCATTTTTCACACTGTCAGTGATGATGGCCTTCACTGAGCCTAGGGCAAGCATGCATGCCTCATGGATCTTCCACCTGTGAAAGGATACTACAGACTAGTAAAACATACTACACTGCCAAAAAAGATAAATATTTGAGGAAAGAAGACTCAGAAAAGGGCACTCCACCACAATCTCTTCCAAAAGAGTCATTTATCTTAAGCCCTTCCATTCTAACCTACAGCTGAAAACAGAGTAAAATTTTAATAAGAGATTAAATCTGTTATTAAATTAAAACCAGATTTTCAAATTAAGATAAAAATAAATCCATCCTTTCAAGACTTTTTAAGAAGGGGTAAACAAAAGCATCTTAACTAATTAGTGGCTCACTCTTACCAGTGCTCAGTGCCACTGTTTTTGGTTTGCTCGGCTTCTTGTAAATGTCGAGTGGCTGCAGCAGCCAGGGCTGCTGCACTTTCATTCTGGAAATCTGTGGCCACAGCCTACGGAGAAAGAAGAGCTAATAAATCTGTTTGTGCCCATTAAATGCATTTTAGTTGTAAACTGCTTTAGTCATGACTGTTAGAAGTGATTGGTTCAAGCTCTTTTACATACATGTGCAAACCCCGATTAATTGTATTTAAAATGTTATACCAGTAGGTCAGGGTCTCTAATGAAATTCAAGTAATATCTGTATTCTGTAGTGCCTAGGCATTGTAAGACTAACCAGTTGGGCCGGGCACGGTGGCTCAAGCCTGTAATCCCAGCACTTTGGGAGGCCAAGGTGGGCAGATCACAAGGTCAGGAGATCGAGACCATCCTGGCTAACACAGTGAAACCCTGTCTCTACTAAAAAAATACAAAAAAACTAACCGGGCGAGGTGGCGGGCGCCTGTAGTCCCAGCTACTCGGGAGGCTGAGGCAGGAGAATGGCGTGAACCCGGGAGGCGGAGCTTGCAGTGAGCTGAGATCCGGTCACTGCACTCCAGCCTGGGCAACAGAGCGAGACTCCGTCTCAAAAAAAAAAAAAAGACTAACCAGTTGGCTTCTTTGGCTATATTCCAGCAGAGTATAAATGAGCAATAATAGATGTAGCTTTGGATGACAATGGACCAAATATTTGCTCTCCTGGAGCCTGATCATAGAAAAATAAGTCTAATCTACTAATTGGAACTGAATATAATCTTTCATAGCTCCTTAGAAATACTAAATGATAATGAGAAGTGATTCATCAACAGAGAACAAATCTCCTACCCAACAAGAAGTGGCAGTTTCTTCTTAGTACTTCAGCCTAGAGACAACTCTATGCTCTAGTTCGAAGAGGCAAAGAAAATATAAGCAGGTATTTGGATGTTCATATTTCAGCAATCTGTTTTGTTTTGTTAGGTTTGCCAACCTTTGGTCTGTGCTACAGATTCTTGTTGAAGAGTGAATTAAACGGAAATGTTTTTTTTTTTTGAGACTGAGTTTCACTCTTGTTGCCCAGGCTGGAGTGCAATGGTGTGATCTTGGCTCACCACAACCTCCGCTTCCCGGGTTCAAGCAATTCTCCTGCGTCAGCCTCCTGAGTAGCTGGGATTACAGGCATGCACCACCAAGCCCAGTTAATTTTGTATTTTCAGTAGAGATGGGATTTTTCTATGTTGGTCAGGCTAGTCTCGAACTCCTGACCTCAGGTGATCTGCCTGCCTCGGCCTCCCCAAGTGCTGGGATTACAAGTGTAAGCCACCATGCCTGCCATAAACTGAAATGTTCTTGATTCAACTACCCTTATTCCATGGAACACTTAATCCTCTATACAATTCTCCCCCGCACCCTGGCCCTATGGTCTGCACAATTCTTATATCTAATATTTAGTTGTAAGTTAGAACCAATAGCAATCATTTTAGAATTTCTGAGTCTCAAACTTCATTTCAGAAACTCTCTTGCATCCCCAATAAAGTCTGAGATAAAGTCACCCAACAACACTGCTCACCTTGGATTAGTTGTCTAGAAAAAAAAAAAGCTCAAGTGACTGATTAAAATTATGCGGTTGAAGTATCAAGGTAAACTTACCAGCAACAAGTCTTGAGCTGCTATTCTAACAGTATAGGAGAATGTATCATCATCTTCATCTTCTACAAACTGTTGGGGGTTGGCTGTCCATACTTTAATCTGAAAAGATCAAATTATATCTTTGTGATGCTGCCAATCTGATTCATAGCTTTTCATCAACAGATACAGGAAGATTTCAACCTATTATCCTGAACAAAACTCTAGCCTTTTGCTGGATACAATGGCTCACAACTGTAATCCTGACACTTTGGGAGGCCAAGGTGGGAGAATTGCTTGAGCCCAGGAGTTTGAGACCAGCCTGGGCAACATGGTGAGAACCCGCCTCTACAAAAAAATAAAAAAGTCAACTGGGCATGGTGGCATATGCTTGTGGTCCCAGCTACTCAGGAGGCTGAGGCAGGAGGATGGCACGAGCCTGGGAGGTCAAGGCTGCCATGAGCTGTGTCTACACCACTACACTCCAGCCTGAGCAACACAGCAAGACCCTGTCCCAAAAAAAACAAACAAAACAAAACAACAACAACAAAAACCGAAACAAAAACTCTAGCTTCAAAAATCTTTTCTTTTTGATGTAGAGAAACAAATACTATCAACTAGCAAGGTAGGTAGCAATGGCTATTGCTCTCTTTTAGAATCTGGCTGATTACTAGCTCTCTGCCAATGTCAACCAGCTGTTACCCTTTGACAGATCGATTTTCTGAACAGATTAAGTCTGATGGACTATTTACTGTGAAAATTATGTCAATTCTTGTGCTGTTTTAAACGAGGCGTTACCTAATTTTTCAACGTTCTTTGCTGGTTTTGATGACCCACCATCAGGCTAACAGTCTGATCATTACATTTTACTATAGGGAAGGAACAGATTCTCCTAAAAATCAGCGTCTTAGGTTAGTGGTCCTGTGAGATTTTCTAATGGCAAAAGTGGGCCAGGCACAGTGGCTCGTGCCTGTAATCACAGCACGTTGAGAGGCCAAGGTGGGCAGATTGCTTGAGCCTAGGAGTTAGAGACTACCAGCCTGGGCAACACAGTATAGTACTTTTCTGCAAAAAAAAAAAAAATTAGCCAGGTGTGGTGGTGAACTCCAAAACTTTGGATATGGCAATAAAATGATGTCAAACCTTTCCCAGAACTTCACATGAAATTACTCTTCTTGGGGCCGGGCACGGTGGCTCACGCCTGTAATCCCAACATTTTGGGAGGCCGAGACGGGTGGATCACCTGAGGCGGGGAGTTTGAGACCAGTCTAACCAACATGGAGAAACCCTGTCTCTACTAAAAATACAAAATTAGCCGGGCATGGTGGCACATGCCTGTAATCCCAGCCACTCGGGAGGCTGAGGCAGGAGAATCGCTTGAACCTGGGAGGTGGTGGCTGCAGTGAGCCGAGATCACGCCACTGCACTCCATCCTGGGCAACAACAGCGAAACTCCTTCTCGAAAAAAAAGAAATTATTCTTCATTATTCTTCTTGTGTCTACTTTTAGAAATAAAGTATTCGCTTGACCAAGACCTCACATTCTTTAAGTTGCACTTTCCAAATACAAGATGGCAACTGCCTCTCAAATATTATTTACCTGCTCCTCAGTGATTTGCATGTACAGGATAATATAATAAATCAATTCAGGCAAGGCTTTCTTTACAGTGCTTTTGAATTTGCTATTTTCTAGTAGAGCATGGACAAATTCAAAAATGCTAAAGACGAGATTTTCAAAGCCCAGGACTTCACCTGCAGGAAACGCACAAGAGAAGAAATTAATGACAAGAAAGCAAAAGGAAAGCACACATGCTGAAAATGAACTACATAATCTTTGTAAATTATTGAATATTTCAAGCACTTGCTAATGATTATTCCTGAGGAATTGGGAGAGAGGGCTCAGAAGTCACAAAACGTAATTTTGAGGATGTTAAATATTCTTTGGTTTTTCAAGTAAAAGAATCAGAAACACTGGATATATTTTCCAGTATGTCTATTGTTCTAATCTGAAATAATTAGAAATATTAAAACAGAAATGAAAGACTCATTATCTGGGACCCCAAAATGAAACACAACAAAATGCCAGAAGTAGGCTACATTAAATGGCCTTAAAAGTATCTCTTCCAACACAGAAATTCTATGATTTTATGAGATTTATGCAACTACCTATCAGGAACAGATTAAAGATTGTCAATTCTCATTTCCCCACATCTAATACATTGAAAATAAACTCAGTTAGAAAACACTTAATAGAGTGAAGCCTCTCAAGTTATTGTTTTTTATGCCCCCCGTCTCTGGCTTCTTTTTCTTTTTCCCACTAACTGGTATTTCTATAAAGATCAAATAAACTACATACCATCAGAATCCACAGGATCTTCTACTTCTTCTGTGTAATTTACTTCTGTCCTCACATAAGTATGATGAAGAGTAAAGAAACAGAATTTGGAGTCTGCTTTACATATAATCTACAAGGAAACGTTACATATTCCAACACTAGAAGTAGACACCTTAAAAAAGCCTGTGTAAGAAGAGTGGAACCATATGAATGTGAGACCCAATGCGAGATTCCTAACTATAGGTGGTAGTAGCTCCCTTAAACTTTCAAGAAAGGATATAAAGCTGCACTCTCGGTTAGGGTGTTCCAAACAATAGGCAGAATCTGCTGCATGGAGGACACCATGTGCTTTGGGAAGTTTTTCACTAGGGCTGTCACTGCCTAAGAAGTTAAGAGAAAAGGACCCAAGTTATGAGTGATATATAGGAAATAAATGATTTCAGACCACCCCCTCAAACACCAAATATTTCATTGGTAGTAAGTGTTTACCTTTAGGACCTCCATCTTAAACCCACTGTCAGATGTGGGGCCATCTGGTATCTGGAGGGCCTGAACAAAGGCCTCTGTGAACTGCTGCACCACGGGAAAGATCAGGACTTTGGCTGCACCCTGATAACAGAAACCAAAGTCAATGCTGGATAAATCCCTAATCCATGGCTTCAACACATATATATCAAACACTGATATGTGAAAGGCACCTAAAGCTCTCTTCAAGCTCCAAGCCTGATCAGAAGAGAATAGCTATAAAGTCAATGAAGGTGTTACCTAAGATTTCATGTTTCCTTAACCAGCACTTGCAGTTCTTCATCAAAGCCCTCTTAAAGACTATTATGTAAGACCAACTTTCCTCCTAACTGCTTCTGAATCACAGGGATTGGTATTTTTCAGCTAGCTTTGCTTCACGCAAGAGGGCCATAAAAGAGTAGGAAAGTTCTGAGTGATGACTACTATGAAAAGGATATAGGATAAGGTGTTTGAAGAAGACAGACCCAAAAGAAGACTAAGCTTTTTACAAGTTGAAAATTCAATCAGGCCAGGTGTGGCGACTCACACCTGTAGTCCTAGCACTTTGGGAGGCCAAGGTGGGAGGATCACTTGAGCCTAGGAGTTCAAGATGAGCCTAGGCAACATAGGGAGAGACCCCGTCTCTACAAAAATAAATTAATTAGGCTGGGCACGGTGGCTCATGCCTGTAATCCCAGCACTTTGGGAGGCCGAGGTGGGCGGATCATGAGGTCAAGATATCGAGACCATCCTGGCCAACATGGTGAAACCCTGTCTCTACTAAAAATACAAAAATTAGCTGGGCATGATGGGGCGTGCCTATAGTCCCAGCTACTCGGAGGCTGAGGCAGAAGAATCGCTTGAACCTGGGAGGTGGACGTTGCAGTGAGCTGAGATCGCACCACTGCACTCCAGCCTAGCAACAGAGTGAGACTCCATCTCTAAATAAATTCATTCATTCATTCATTCGCCGGGAGTGGTGGCACACGCTGGTGGTCTCAGCAACTTGGGAGGCTGAGATGAGAGGATTGCTTGAACCTGTGAGGTTGAGGCTGCAGTGAGCTATGATCATGCCACTGCATTCCAGCCTGGGTGACAGAGCAAGATCTTGTCTCAAAAAAATCCAAATAAATAAAAAAATAAAAATATAGCTGGGAGCTGTGATTCATGCTTATAATCCCAGCACTATGGGAGGCTGAGGCAGGAAGATTGCTTGAGCCCAGAAGTTTAAGACTAGCCTGGGCAATACAGTGAGACCCTATCTCTACAAAAATTTACAAAATAAAATCAGTCAAGTGTGGTGGTGCATACCACACCTGTAGTTCCTACTGGGGGTCGGGGGTGCTGAGGTCAAGGGATCACTTAAGCCCAGGAGTTCAAGGCTGCAGTGAGCCATGATTACGCCACTGTATTCCAGCCTGGGTGACAGAACAAGACCCTGTCTGGAAAAATAACAATAATAATAATTTAATAAAAATGTTAAATCTATCTCTAATACTGGTTAGTGTGCTTTTTGGTGCTGCTATCATGAAACGACTCACTGCTCTGCATGAATAAAACTTGTAAGCATGAAGTCTGTTACTGATCCAAAGACCTGCTTACCTTTTCCAGCTCCTCCATGTTACAGATCATATGGGCACAAGTGGTAAATATTTCCACGGCTCGGGAACGGGTTCGAATACCATACACCTGGAAAAAAGGTTACAGCATAACAGCACAGCCACGACATTGGAATGTGTAGGTATGTGTGTATCTTGGACTAGAAGTAAAACTATGACTAATGAATCCTTACATGAGATTGGATGCCCTCGAGAAATGGGAAATGTAACTCATTTACATTTACAGGAGGCAGACTTCTGTAATTCAGAGAATGAAAGGTAGCAGAATCATAATGTTGGAACTTATTGGAATGAACCTTACACATGGGCCTCTGTGGGTTCATTTGATTAAAAAATACCAGGCTGGGTAGTGCTTAAAATCCCAACACAGCCAATATATTTCCTTTAAAATGCAGACTATTGGTTGGGGGCAGAGGTGAATAGGGAAGTTACATTATCCATCAGGTATTTACATCTTATTGTAAATGAGTTATCATTCATATACACTCTAATCAAATATATATGCAATATATTAAGGGTCTATTATGGGCAATGCAGTGATAGATTGCTTCCAATTACTTAGCTGAGGTAGGCAAGCTTAGGTGGGATAACTCAATAAACTGAGGCTGGAAGTAGCATGAAGGAAGGCACTATTTATCTACCTAGGGGCTACTGGATGCCAGGAAGTACGATATGTGAAGAAATATTTCAGCTATTTCACTCTTTTATCAAAGGCTTGCCCTTGTAGTTGAGTGAAAGGTCTAAGGTTAACGCAGATTCAGATCCAAATCTTTGTCAGTTCTAGTCTTTAGGTATTGAGATCAGTTGCAAACACCATAATCTCCCACCTGAAAGGCTGGGGGCTGAAGACAGCCTGAACTCACTATAATCTTGGAGCTGAGATTTCATACCTCAGCCATGGTGAAGATCTTATACATCTCTGGGAGAATGACAGGAGCAACAAGTGGCATCTGTGTGTCTGTCACTTCTCGAGTGAATTCTACAAAGAAAAAAGTAGTACTGTTTAAAAAAAAAATACTGCTTCATAAAGATATTAAGGTTGACATTTTCTGAACTGCTTCTAGGTGGCAGTTCCCAAACAGACAGCACACAAGTAAAGACACTGGCCTGGTGGTCTCATTCTGTGAAAGCAAAAGTAGCAAGAGTTACTGATTATTTGTTAGAAGGAGAAAGAATAACATGGAAATAGAGAAAAATATAAGCAATTAAAAAAGAAAACTTTAATATAAATACTGAAAGAAAATCTGTAATAGAACTGCATAAATGTCCTTGTGAGGTCAACTTGGGAAAATTCTGTATTAATTTACTTTGTGCTCATCTGTCAACATTCAGTTACACTTCGAGGTTTCTTACCTTTGGTTCTATTTTCAGTACTTTCACTTGGCAAGCTAGTTTGATGCACATAATAAAATATGTACAGACTTACTAGGCCTCAACTCCTCTTTGTATATGTTACTCTTCTCAGTAGATGATATTTATTGACCTAAAAGTCAGAGGCTGCTGCTAACTGGAACAAATAGGAATTTTCTATATAAATGTGGCAAAAAGCAACCTATACACAGAATGAGACTCGAAGGTGACGGAAATATGGGTCGTATCTTTCCCTTCATTTCTTCAAAAAATAAAAATAAAATAAAATAAATACACCACACACAAGGTACTGAGACAGCACAAAGGACCCCTGGATTCATGTTACAAAGCAGCAGAATAAAAGCCCTTGAGTTCCAATAACTATTCACTTTACCTGATGCTTTTCCACGTTATCACTATAAAAATGGACATAGGCGCTGGGCACAGCGGCTTATGCCTGTAATCCCAGAGCTTTGGAAGGCTGAGGCAGGAGGATCACTTGAGGTCAGGAGTTCAAGACCAGCCTGAACATAGCAAGATCTGCCACTACATTAAAAAAACAAACAAACAAACAAAAAAAACAAAATGCTGCGTGTGGTGGCATGTGTCTGTAGTGCCAGCTACTTAGGATGCTGAGGCAGGAGGCTCACTTGAGCCTAGGAAGTCAAGGTTACAGTAAGCTACAACAGTGCCACTATACCTGAGCCCGGGTGACAGAGTAAGATTACGTCTCAAATAAATAAATAAAAAAAAATAAAAATAAAGCTAACCACTTGGGACATTTTGGGAAAAGATACACAGCTAGAAACGCAAGTTGGCATTTTCAAGGTTAAGGTACTCCACAATTTTGAGCAGTATCAATCCCCATGAGTCAAATGGAGACCAAATACTCAAGGTTGAATTTTCTTTACAGCTGTAATTTCCTCCTCAAGAATAAAGTATGAGTTTTGAATGGTAAGTGAGTGTTCTATTTTATTTAGAAATCCAAGGAAATTAGTCCAAACAAATATGACAGATAGCATAACAAGTTTTTATGAAAAACATAGTATAATTTAATTCCGCTAATAAAATGCTTAACTGCTTTTTACTCTCCTATACTCATCCCTGGTATCAATTTATTAATACTTTATAGGTTTAATTCCAAAAGTTTTCTGAGGTGATTCAGCAAGTCAGAAAAATTCTAGGACTCCAGCAACACCTCAATCTCCAAATTTCTTTGAGAATAAAGAAAAAGCTGTATCTGGTGGATCAAATCTTCTAATCCTTAGCTGCTATGTTTACATTTCCTTTACACCATGAGCCTTAGTTGGTTCTCATCTATAAATAGATAAGTTTAATAGGAAGCTTCATTAAAGGGAAACTGGTATAGTATCTTGAAAAACTCTGAAGAGAATCAGTCCCATTCTCCTAATGGGCCTCTGTCCAACCACCATGTCCTGCTATCTTCATGCATGCCTAAGTTTTTGTTGTTAGAGTACAGTCTACCCTCGTTTGAAAATATTTGGAGCAAGTATTTGGGAATGGGGTTGGCTGCCAGCCATTCCATGTCTGGTGACTCCATTACAAAAGGACACAAATTTCCCCAAGAGTTCTTTCCCTGTGGCTGGCAGAAAAATGATCTCACTGAACAGTAATTTCCTTAGTCAAACACAATAAGGGCTCTTCAGCATCCAAATCAAGATAAATGTACAAACACCTTTCTCTCCAGGTTTGTCAAAAGAAGCTGAATTTCATGTTGGAAGACTGAGAGGGAACAGGCTTCCTTTCCTTGGTAGAACATGTATCTGTTAATTGATATCCTGGCACTATGAAGTGGTGAATAAAGAATCCTGAAAGGCCAATTTCATGGAGACGGGTGTGTGAAATCACTTGAACAATGAATGAGTCATAAGGGAGAAGTAAGGGCAATAAGCAGGGAAGTGAAAATCTGAGCAAGGAACATTTTGATCTTTTTGGTAAGTCTGTTCTGTATCTGAGCTAAAAACTGAAGCTTTGTCATAGGCAATCAATACGAATATAGTGGTAATTCAAAAAGGCAGCTGGGGGCATGGGAAGAGGTGATTTTGAAACAAAAGGAGAAGAAAGATTTGCATTTGACAAAGAGTTGATATTATCTACCATTAACATCACATGGACTAGCAAAATTGGGCCTATGTGCCAAGTTCAGTAAACTGAGATTGAGAGAGAATAGAACTGGCATTCACAACTAGGTAAGAAAACATTTCAGGTAAGCAAGTAGGTCATAGAGAAAGAGAAGATATTGGTGGGACTTCTACAAACCTCCATAAACGAAGGAGAAAGATGATTTCTAAAGGATCAGTACAGGATGACTAAAGGCCAGGTAAGAATTTCTTGAAGGCAAAACAGAGTAGTGACTTCATCTAGGGAATAAGAAGCAGGGAGGAACTTGCAAAGGACTGGGAAACTCAGGCCATCCCTAAGGATATATGAAAGCAGATTCTGGGAGAGATTGATAACTTAATCAGGTTTAGAAGAGATATCCATCAAATCTCTTTGAACTAAAAGTAGAAGTATTTTTATCAACTTCTCAGAACAGAGAGAAGGAAAAGATACTGAGACTACATATTCTCTAACTGGCTAAATGAAGGTCAGGATTATATGGCTATACTGTTTTTATCTTCTTTTTAAATATTTCTATAAAAATTCATTTTACAATTCTTAACTTTACCGTAGTTGAACTAACTGGAAAAATAATATATAGTAATAATAATCATAGTAACTAAACTTTACTGAACAAATAAAGATAGATTAGCTAATTTAAACCATACCAAAAGCTCCTTTGATGCAGATACTATCATCTTAATTTTATATAGAAGGAAACTCAGGCTCAAAGAAGGTAAGTGAAGGATCAAGGTGAAGCCCCTACAAAAATTTAAAATCTGAATACTCAATCTCTATGCTAATACTGTATCTGTAAGTGGTAGGTTTGGCAGTAGAAGTAATACTATACAAACTTAACTCCCTAGAAAAAAACAATGGAGCTGGACGGTAGATGCAGAGATAAAAACTAGGAGGGAGGAATAACATCAGTAGCAATTCCTACTGATCCAGGCCATTATATCACATAGCTTCTGGTAATACTCCTGTCGCTTGAGATCCAAGTACCAATACCAGGGAAAAGGGCTTCTGGTACCTGTCAGCACACGCATGGCTCCATGGACGGCATTTAAGTCTCCGCTCACCAACATCTCCATGAGCAGGTTGAAGAGTTGGGGCCAAGCTTCAGGCCAGTCCCAGTGGGCAATGGCTGACACTGCATAGGCCACACTGGAGCGCACTTTGCTTATCGATTCTCTCAACCCATTAGGCAATAGCTCCCGGATAACAATTTTTGCCTGTAAGGGATAAAAGTCCACCTGCTATTAGATCAGGTTATAAGTGACTGGCAGAGCCCAGTTCAGTTGGGAACTGTGTTGGAAAAACAATGAGTACAAGGTACTGCAATGAGTACAAGGTACTGCATAAACTTGCAATGAATTGTCAAGTTTATATATAGGAGTTTTAGAGGAGTCTTCTCTAAAACTCCTATATATAAACTTGACAATTCATCTGGAGGGTTCATCTGTGATCTCTAGACTTATGCCGTCCATTACAGTAGCCACTAGCTACACATGGCTATTAAAATTTTAAAACATTTAAAATTCAGTTCCTCAGTTGCACTAGCCCCATTTTAAGTGCTCAATAGCCATATGTAGCTAGTAGCTATTGTTTTAGACAGCACAGACACAGAATATTTCCATAACTGCATAAAGTTCCAATGGAAAACATTCCTCCAGACCTTACACCTCAAAATTTCTTGGGGACTCAGGATGATTGCACATTATTGCACTAAGTACAAACATTATTTCATTTAATTCTTAAACCCTTAGTTGGTATTTTTATTCTCATTTTGGAGATTTAGGAAATTGAGGCTTAGGCGTTAACACATTTCCAATGATCTCATAGCTTGTAAAAAGCAAAACTGGAATTTGAACACAGACCAGCCTGATACTTGAGCTCTTTAATGTATAGCCCTATGCCCGCAATGCCAGCCAACAATCTCCTTCTCTGCCTAGTCTTGATTGCTTCATGCAGTCAAAGAATGTTGATAGTCTAATCTCTTAAAATGGACCCTCAAATCTCCTCAGGTAGACTAATCAAGTAACTGACTTACCCTTTCTGTAGTTTCAGGAGGCCTGAATTTCTCTGATTGGGCACACCAGTGAGTCTCCACATATTGTTTCAAGATGACTGATGCCAGCTGTGAAGAGAATAAGCCAAGTAGTACAGCAAGAAAAAGATTTTTTTCACACATAAAAACTATATACATGGTCCGATACATCTGAAGTCTATCTAAATCTGGCACGACATCCTAGGTTATTTATAAATCGGCCTTATTCTTATTCTTTCCCATAAGAAAGTTTCATTACCAAGGAAAAGGAAACTACTTATAAATTGGGCCAGTCTGGACTTACCTGACGGATTGCCAGTGCTCCCTGGGGATCTACAGTCAGTTCTGCCAAGTGAACACCAAATTCTGAAAGAGAAAATTTTATTGAGTCTAAGAGCACCCAGGAAAGCCATAGCAATTTACTAAGCTCTAACCCTGATGCCAACAAGATTTCAGAAAGAATCCTAATCTGTTATTTCAAAAAGAGCTGATAACTACTAAGACTGATTCCTCCAAGTAAAAGAAACGAGTTGGCTTACAGGACATGCCTTGTTACAATGAAGTTCCAACACGCTCACACTTTTTCCAGTCACCGCATACCACCTTCCAGTCATCTTCCCTTCCAAGATGACAATACCTTCCTCTTATACCAATTAATGTGGTAACTGAAACATGGAGCCTGCCGTGGTGGCTCACCTCTGTAATCCCAGCACTTTGGGAGGCCGAGGTGGGTGGATCACTTGAGATCAGGAGTTCGAGACCACCCTGGCCAACATAGTGAAACCCCATCTCTACTAAAGATACAAAATTAGCCAGGCTTGGTGATGCGTGGCTGTAATCCCAGCTTCTTGGGAGGCTGAGGCAGGAGAATCACTTGAACCGAGGAGGAGGAGGTTGCAGTGAGCTGAGATTACATCATTGCACTCCAGCCTGGGAGACAAAAGCAAAACTCTGTCTCAAAAAAACAAAACAGGCTGGGCGCAGTGGCTCACGCTTATAATCCCAGCACTTTGGGAGGCCAAGGCAGGTGGATCACAAGGTCAGGAGTTCAAGAACAGCCTGGCCAAGATGGTGAAACCCCATCTCTACTAAAAATACAAAAAAATTAGTCGGGCATAGTGGCAGGCATCTGTAATCCCAGCTACTTGGGAGGCTGAAGCAGAGAATTGCTTGAACCTGGGAGGTAGAGGTTGCAGTGAGCTGGGATCATGCCATTGCATTCCAGCCTGGGCTACAGAATGAGACTCCATCTCAAAAAACAAACAAACAAAACAAAACAACAAACAAACAAAAAAAGGGACCAAAAACAAAACAAAACAAAAAAACATGGGACCATCTATTCCTGAGGACAACTTAAAAGGTGAGATTTCACGAGCTGCCCAGATATATGCCACCAATTATGAGCTGATTAAGTCCAAGAACACATGGCTTTAACAAACTTAGTCCTAAAAATGAGAGGTTTCCAATAAGCAATGGAACTTGAACTGCACATTTCGAGACTGTAAATAACTCTTACTTCCAAATTAAAATTTATTTTTTAAAAATGATTACTAAAATAAATTTTGTTTTAGAGACAGGGTCTCTGTCATCCAGGCTGGAGTGCAGTGGCGTAATAATAGCTCACTGCAGTGTCGAATTCCTAGGCTCAAATGAACTTCCTGCCTCAGCCTCCCGAGTAGCTGAGACTACAGATGCACACCACTGTGCCTGGCTCCAAATTAAAACTTAGATCTAATATATACTTGCAAAGGAGTAAACTATCAAATATTTGTTTGTGAAAAGAGGAGGAAGAATGTAAAACCAACAGTGCATCATAATTTTTACACCTCACATTGTAGGGCTGTGCTATCCAATACAGTAGCTATTAGTCACAATGGCTGTACCTGTAATGTGGCTGGTGAGACTTGAGATGCCTATAAATGTAATACACACTAGATTTCAAACTGTGTGAAAAAAAGAGGAAAATATCTTTTTATATTGATCAAATGTTGCAATACTTTGTCTATATCAGGTTAAATGAATATAGAGTTAAAATTTAATTTTATGTTTCTTTTTGCCTTTTTAATGCAGCCACTAGAAAATTTAAAATTTCACAAGTGACTCATACTATATTTCTGTTGGACAGCACTATGCTAAAGAATGAACAGCAGTTTTCTAGACCTGCTCAGTATTGGTAGATACATAGGTCACAATAGGCTCACCACTCCCATTTGGAGGGAGCTATAGATTAGCATGATTAAAAGAATGGGCTGTTCAGGTTCAAATCCTGAAGCCACTATGCCTGTCCTTAGGTAAGCTACCTTTCTAAACCTCAGCTTCCTCACCCACAAAATAGGAATACTGGTATCAGGGCCCGGCGAGGTGGCTCATGCCTGTAATCCCAGCACTTTGGGAGGTGGGGGCGGACGCATTACCTGAGTTCGAGACCGGCCTGACCAACATGGAGAAACCCTATCTCTACTAAAAATACAAAATCAGCTGGGCATGGTGGCACATGCCTGTAATCCCAGCTACTCGAGAGGCTGAGGCAGGAGAATCGCTTGAACCCAGGAGGCACAGGTTGCGATGAGCCGAGATTGTGCCATTGTACTCCAGCCTGGGCAACAAGAGGGGAACTCCGTCCCCTCCGCAAAAAAATACTGGTATCGATATATCAAGCAATCCTTCTAAGACTCAATAATATAACATATGTAAAATGCTTTGCACAATATCTGCCATAGTGGTAAAAACTTGAAGACAAAAATAAGTTATTTTGCTATTATTTTTTATTGTCTATCATGAATACACTGGCTTTCCCATCTCATGTAACTAAAGTTACTTTTCATGTAAAGTTCCACGTTAACTGGATTCTACTGAAATAGCCATCCAAAGGGCATTTATAAAATAGAAAAGCTTAATACCAAGAAAGAGTTGTTACATGCAATGTTTCAGGTTCAAGGCTTATCCAAGTAACCAGGTAAAAAACTGCTGAAAATAATCTATGTCTCTATTTTACAATATAATTTTTGTAGGCTTACAGAAAAGCGGAACAGTACAGACAGTTCATGGATATCATTCATCCATTTTTCTCTTACATAATCATGGTTCAGTGATCAAAAATCAGGAAATTAACATGAGTACAATACTATTAACTAAACTAGACTTGATAAGAACTTCACCAGTTTTTTTTCCTTATTGTCCTTTTTCCTTCAGGATCCCATGATCCTACATTGTATTTGGTTGCCATGTTTCCTTAGTTTCTTCTAAAGTGTGACAGTTCTTCATTCTTGTCTTTTGTGACCAGAACACTTTTGGTGAATATCAGTTATTTTGTAGAATGTGTCTCAATTTGGGTTTGACTAAAGTTTCCTCAGCTTTAGACGGAGGTTATGCATTTCTGGCAAGAATACCAGAAAGTGATGCTGTGTCCTTCTCAGTATATCATATTAGGGAGTACATAATATGGATAAAAATTTTATTACTGGTTATGGTAACATTGATTACATGGCAAAGTCTGCTGGGTTTCTCCACTTAAAGGTACTGTTTTTCCCTTTGTAATTGATCCAAATCTTGGGAGACATACTTTGACATTTTGCTATTATTCTGTTTCTTTTCAAACTCTCATCCACTGATTTTAGCATCCATCTGTGAGTGTTACCTGCCTAATGGTTATTTTGCATTTCTTTTATTCTCTTCATTTATTAATTGGAATTCTTTTTTTTTTTTTTTTTACGGAGTCGGTTGCTCTGTCGCCCAGGCTGGAGTGCAGTGGCGCGATCCGGCGTCACTGCAAGCTCGCCTCCCGGGTTCACGCCATTCTCCTGCCTCAGCCTCCTCAGTAGCTGGGACTACAGGCGCCCGCCACCGCCCCTGGCTAATTTTTTGTATTTTTAGTAGAGACGGGGTTTCACCGTGGTCTCGATCTCCTGACCTTGTGATCCGCCCGCCTCGGCCTCGCAAAGTACTGGGATTACAGGCGTGAGTCACCGCGCCCGGCCTTGGAATTCTTTTATAAGGAAGTACTGTCCCTTCTCCTTTATTTATTACAATATTATAAAATATGTATTTTGGTTTTCATCCATGATTCCTGGTTCTCAGCTCCTGTAAGCCTTATTATTTCCTAAGTGACTAGAGGAATATCTTTTTTTTTTTTTGAGACAGAGCCTCACTCTGTCATACAGACTAGAGTGCAGTGGCACTATCTCAGCTCACTGCAACCTCTGCGTCCTGGGTTCAAGTGATTCTTGTGCCTCAGCCTCTGGAGTAGCTGGAATTGCAGGAGTATACCACCACGTCCAGCTAATTTTTGTATTTTTAGTAGAGACTGGGTTTTGCCACGTTGGCCAGGCTGGTCTTGAACTTTTGACCTCAAGTCTGCCCACCTCAGTCTCCCAAAGTGCTGGGATTACAGGTGTGGACCACCACACCCGACCAAGAATATCTTTTCTTAAAAAGTATTTGCCTTTTGTCCTTGGTTCCTGAAGTAGCTCCTGAAGGATAAAGGTGACAGTCTTTTCTTACTTACAAGATACTTTTTTCTCTCTTTTTTTCCCCCACATCACCTCACCTTTCCTTTTTTTTTTACCATTCCCCTACCTGATGCAATGGTCTTAGGATCAGGGCTGTAACTACATGTGCTGGAAGCAGGAATGATTCCTAAGCAAGAAATTGTAACTACGTATTGTAACTTAAGTCAGAATTCCTAATGGACTGATGGGAATGGGTTGTGCTTTCACCCCATTGAGCAAAATTGGGGCTAACAGTTAATACAGGTATATTGCCTGATAGTAAAAAGAGCCCACTAGTTCTGCACCTCTGTAACCTAACCCTATCTGAATGGGGCGCACTGAGGAAGAGGTACTTGCTAGACTAGTATTGTTGCCTGCAATCTAGACCATCACAGTGGCTGATTGTAATGCCCCTTCCAAAGGTGGAGAAGTTTGGGTACTTATTAAGAGAGAAGAAACAGTAGTTCAGAGGAAAGAAATGAGTAAGTGGATTACGAACTGAGAGGATTCCAATATCACATTAACACCTCAAAAGAGGCTCAGAGCAAGAGATGACATTGCCTCTTAGCTCAATTATATCAAATACATGAAATGGTAAAGCTCTGTGTTTGCTGAGACTACTTCTGCTTTTGCAACCTCACAAGAATGAAAGGAAGCCTGCCAATCTGAGTGGCCTCACCCTGGGAGACATTCATACAATATGATGAACTAGATTATTAATTATTGAATGGGATTCTAGTAATGTGGCAGTATCTTTTGAGTTGGACATCCTTTTGACGTAAGGGATCAGGGTTTGAAGACCCAAGGGTGGACTGTGATTTTGTGAAATATGTATTTGGTCTTTGACTTCATTTCCTGTCAAACAGCTCCTAAAATCCT